TAAGTTAGAGACTCTTACGGGTCTCACCGTTATTGATGCTCTTAGTATCTTGTGCCGAACGAGACATGAAGATTTTATTTTATTGAGTACTATGTTCATATATAGCTATGTTTTTTTATAATACAGTGCATTCAGAATGATAAAAGTGTGAAAGCAAGAGATTTGTTGAAGGAAAAGGTGAGAAAGATGCTTGATGATGAGAAGAATACTTATCTCGACAAATTAGAACTCATTGATGATCTAGAAAAACTCGGGGTTTCTTACCATTTTGAAAGGCAAATAGCTAACATTTTAGCAGTTTCTTATCACAAAGATAGAAGAATCGTCAGGGAGTGTGACATAGAAAAAGATCTCCATGCAACAGCACTCGAATTCCGACTTTTCAGACAACATGGTTTCAATGTTTCAGAAGGTTATTATCCTAATTTGTTATATTTATACAATTTTGGTATTAAATGGTATATATTTATTTTTGTTAACGAGTATTCTTTACTAACTAACAAATATATTATGATAGTGTTTTGTTACAATGAACCCAAAAAACAAAAAAAAAACTCAAAGTGATGTAATTGGTTATATATTGATTTGGTCTTATATACAACTAACGAAATTGTTTATTAATTACAGATGTATTTGATGTTTTTATGGAAGATTGTGGGAACTTTGAGAGTGAAGATATAAATGGTCTCATTTCACTTTACGAAGCTTCATATCTTTCGACAAAATCGGATACTAAACTGCAAAAAATCATCAGAGATTTTGCAACACGACAACTCAGAGACTTTGTGGATACTCATGATGGTACTAATTCCGATTTTGAATCTTGTGACGTCAAAGAGATGGTGATCCAAGCGTTAGATATGCCCTACTATTGGCGAATGAGAAGACTAGCAACGAGGTGGTACATAGATGTGTATGGAAAGAGACATAACAAGAACCGTGACTTGGTTGAATTTGCCAAGATCGATTTCAATATCGTACAAGCTATTTATCAAGAAGAACTCAAAAACGTTTCCAGGTAATATTAAATTGAGATAAGCCATATATCGACTTTACAGATCTTACATCTATTGAAATTTGAACACCACATAAAAGAATGACATAATAGAACGTCACAATAGAATGCTACAAAAAAATAAACCGTCTTAATCTCAATATATCCATTCAAATAAAGATTATTAAAGAATTTATAGGAATATTTTCAAAACCCGAAAGTCCAAAATATATTTAAATCCCTTCATTTCTATTTAAATAAATAAAGAGAAATTTTAAGAAATACTATTTTTCAAGTGCCACTTTTCAAAAATACCACATTTTCAAAAATTTTGCAAAAATATCAATTTTTCAAAATTATTTTTTCATTATATCATGGGTTAACTATGTTGTATTATGATTTAATTTTGAGGTTTTAAGGGGTTTAGGGATCAAAACATTATTTCGGG